TCTGCAGTGCTGTCCTCAGTCCTGGGCAGCTCAGCTTAGGAAGGGCATTAATGGGTCAGCTGGACAGCATTCAGAAGAGGGGGGCTCACTGGAGCATGGAGAGAGGGCTGGAAGGACCTGAAAGACTAGAGAGCAGCCGGGACAATGAAGACGTGCGCTAGTATGCCATGTATGGACTGCAAGAAGGACCAAGAATGTTTATGTTGGAGAAGACTCAGAACAGGGGGACATGAGAGCTGCCACCAAATGGACAACTGTCATGTGCAAGACAGATAAAACTTACCCTACTTTATGCAGAAGCAATGGTTATAAATACAGAAAGAGCAAACGTAGATCGAATGTAAGGAAAAACTGCCTAACGAGCAGTGCAGTCCAAAAATGTAAGAGGCTGCTTCATGAGGTTGTGAGTTCCTGCCCCTCTCATTAGGGGTCTTCAAATAAAAGTTGGGTGACCAATTGTCAGGTAAGTTGTAATGGGGGTTCCCATTCAGGTTCAGAGTGGACTAGGTAACGTCTGAGGTCAATCAGTCAGTTAAAAAGCTTTTATGTGACTGACTGTGTGCCAGGTATTATGCTAAGTACTAATGGTACAAAGACAAAATGAAACCAGCTGCCTCCAAGGAGTTTACATGCCATTAAAAGAGACAGCACGTGTAGATACAAATATATATGTATATGAATATGAATATGTATAGATATGTATATACACATATACACACATACATACATAGATTTATATATGATCTATAATGTTTATATATGTATATATAAACATACAATATAAACATACACAAAATTAATAAAGATGTTTTTAAGAGGAAGAGCACCTGTAGCCAAAGGGATCAGGAAGAAGGTGGTGCATGAACTGAGATGGAGCGTGATAAGTGCCGAAAAGTGAGTTGTACAGAATGATTGGGTCAAAGTGGGCAGAGAAGGGAGTGAGTTATAAAAGACTAGAAAGTAGGAAAGGCTCTGGTTGTGAAGGCTTTTAAATGTGATCCTTGAAACAATAGGAAGTCACATGAGTTTATTAAGCGAAGGGATAGAATGAACCTTCAGGAAAATTTCTTTGAAAGTTGTGTGCAAGATAGATTACAGGCTTAAGACAGGGAAAACAATTAGGAAGCTATTGTAGTAATTCTCCGAGATGAAGAGAGAGAGAGAAAGAGAGACAGAGAGACAGAGATAGAGAGAAACAGAGATAGTCTAAGAGAGACAGAGACACAAAGAATGGTCGTTAAGGCATCTATTTTTGTTTGTTGGGCTTTGGGGTTTTTTTTGGTTTTTTGTTTTTTAATGGAAAGAAATGAACAGAAGGAAGGTCAGGAAGAAGTATAGATAAGCAGGACAGCTTTGAGAGCTACAGGCTGAATTTATTGTTGTTGTTGTTGAGTCATTTTTCTGTCATATCCAACTCTTCGTGACCCATTTGGTTTCCTTGGCAAAGATGCTGGAGTGGATTGCCATTTCCTTCTGCAGCCCATTTTACAGATAAGGAAACTGAAGCAAACAGGGTTAAGTGACTAACTCAAGGTGACACATAGTACGTGTCTGAGGTCAGATGTGAGTCTTCCTGACTCCAGGCCCACCGATCTAGCCACTGTGCCTCCTACCTGCTGAATTTATCACATAGACATGCAAAGAAAACCCTAATAGAGCCCTGCAGTTTCATGTAGAATCTTTTATTTGTATGAAAATGCCTATTTTCTATTATGTTCACTAAGCGGAGAATGAAAATTAAAATTTAGCGTTACTTCCCCAGCATGACAACATTTTGGAATGAATGGATGAAGAGGTGAATGAATGAATGAGTAAATTAAGAAAAAGTCATTTATTAAGAGCTTTCTATGTCCAAGGCATTGTGTTAAAGAGTTAGGGGTGAAAAGACAAAAAAGCAGAGACAGTCCCTACCTCCAAAGAGCTCACATTCTAATAGGAGGAGACAGTAGAAGGAGAAGTAGCTAGGAAGGGCCACTTTGGCCCCCTAAATTACAAGGATGTGATTTTAGAAGAGAATAACTAGGAAGCCCCAAAGAGCTTCATGGTTCTGGGATTTGCTTTTCTGGAAAGTATTATATAAGAACCAATAGAGGGCAGCAGCAACCCATTGATCCAAAGGGAAAACTGGGTCTTTTTGCTCAAGTCTAATAATTTCTCATCAACAATGGACATCTTGGCCCCTACATCCTTGCAGAAGAAGAAATCACACCAGACTGAAGGAGGCGAATTTCTTATCCACTTAGCTGTCTTGGAACTGAACCTATCCCCAACAGTTCCATCTTTATCTAAAAAGAACAAAAAAAAAATCAAAACTGGAGACCATACTGAAATGGGAGTGAGGGGAGGTGGAGAGACTCAGAGTTCCTTTCACAGGTCAAGGCCACGTCTAATCTAATAAAATGAAGTCAGGAGTCAGGGGCAGTGACCCAACCTTAACTGAGACATTGGAAATCAGTTGATTGTCGATTTCTAAGTTCCTAGCCCGAAGCAGGGAGAATCCTTTGCATCTGGAATAGTCTTCCAGCTCTTCTCAGGGTTTTAAAATGCTCACTACCCAATCTGGGTCTTGATGAGGTTTGATGGGCTCCTGAAGGCAATCTTGGAGACTGACAGAGACCCCTACAGCTGCCGAAAGCTCCCATCAAACTTGGACATTGAATGCGTGGTGTCATGCAGATGGTGACTCCGAGGAGTGAGGGCTGCCACTTGCAGCATCAAGGATGACATCCGCTGCCAAGGTCGGGGGGTGGAAGATTGCTTTAATGTGACTGGCACCTACCAATTCAGTTCACATTGTTTGTGACAGGGTGTCATTTCCCCACTTGTCTGAGATGAATGAGTTTCCAAAGCACATAAACACACTCTTCCAAAAAAAAGAAAAGAAAGAAAGAAAAAGAAAAAGAAAAAGAAAAACATGGTTCCGTGCCGAGTAGTGTGAGTTTGCTTGCTTGCTGCAAAATAAATCGTGTTTTAAAATTAGAACATAAATAAATGAGGGGATATGCTGGAGGAGAAGGTAACAGCTAGATTTGGAGTCAATGACTCCGGTTTAAATCCTGGCACTAACACTGTCCATGTGTCCTTGGGCAAGTCACAACTCTCTGAGCCTCCACTTCCTTGTCTGTAAGGGTCTGGATGACCTCTCGGGTATCTGTCAGCTCTGGGTGTATCATCCAATGACCCCAGCCCACTGATTAGCAACAAGCCACCTAAACAATTCTGCCTACCATTGTTCCAGGAGACAAACTCCATCAGTTGGAGAGGTAGGAGAGAGTCTAGGGGAATGTGGTAGAAAAAAAAAGCCAGGAATTCATATTCACAGTGAAATCCTGGATTTGCTTTGTCAATTTAATTCAATCAACATCCATCAAGAAACCTAACAGGTGCAAGAAGACACTGTGCCAGGCACTGGAGATACCAAGGGAAATGTCCTCTAGTTCAGAGACTCAACCTCCCTCAGCCTCAGTTTGCTCATCTAAGAAAAGGGCAGATTGAATAAGATGCTGATGTGCTGCTCAATCCGCTCATTTCATAGATGAGCAAATTAAGGCTCGGGGAGGTTAAGTGATTATGATCTCTTCCTTTAATGTATAAAATGGGAATAATAACATTTGTACTATCAATTCAATGCAATTCAACATGTATTCAGCATCTATTCAGGAGTGAGGCAGGTACATAGAGAAAGGCATGTGGAAATATATATATATATATACATATATATACATATATATATAAATTGTGTGTGTGTGTGTGTGTGTACAGAGAGAGAGAGAGAGAAAGGTAGTTAGAAAATGATGAAATGAATGAGGAAAAGTGTATTAACTGCTTTCTATATTCAAGGCATTGTGCTAAGAGCTAGGGAGAGAAAGACAAAAAAGCCTTCCTTCAAGGACCTTATAGTCTAATTGGAAGAGACGTTAGAGAAAGGGGTAGTCAGGAAAGGCCACTTTGGGCCCTAAGAAGATACAAGGGTAGTGATTTTAGAAGAGAATATTCAGGAAGAGAGAAAGCCATGTGACCTGGAAAGGCAACTTGTGTGCACCTGCAGTTGTCTCTCTGACATTACCCATCACAAAGGATCTGTATTGTTGGAGGGAGTTTCTACACCAGGAGTTCCCTATAGTGATAAAATCACAAATGTGGGCCCGCCCCCAAATGTACCCATCACTGGGCTAGGCAGCGAAGGACCAGACAGACGCAAAATCATCTCTGCTAAGGATTCAAGGTAGGGACTTTGGGGTAATCACTGAATCTTTCTGATCTCTAATTTTCTCATTTGTAAAATTAGCAGACAGATCTCTAAAGCCCCTTCCAGTTCTAAATCCTATTTTGTTTGTTTGTTATTTCTAATTGGACCTGTTGGTTTCATTAGTGAAGGGACTTGCTGGAGAGGAACCTTCTCTGCCCACAAAGATAGAAACTTTCTTTATGACTTAGACTCTTAGAGAGTTGCCTGGGGCACTGAGAGGTTAAACGTGTGACCAGGGACACACAGCTGGTATGGGTCCGGGGCAGGACTTGAACTCAGATCCACTTATTGCCAGGGTCAACATCAATGCCTCATGACAGACTGAGCCTACAATCTAGAAATCAGGGAAAATAAAACTTATATTGTTCAATTTATTTCAACCCAGCAAGCATTCAATTATCATCTACTGTATGTCAGGCATTAGAGATACAAAGACAAAATGTAGAAAAAATATACAAAATATACAAAAATATACAAAAAGATACAAAGAAAATATAACTGCCTGCTCTCAAGGAGTTTCCATTCTGGAGTTAGTTTGCCTATCTACCTCACAGGGTCATTTTACTCAACTATAGTATGATAAGTCAACATGAGCTGTTAACATTATTCTGGCTGTTGTTATTGTTATTAGTATTATTCTTATCCGGGAACACTTGAGAAAGAAAAGAGGTTTGGTAAGTTGGGTTTCTTATGTTTGTGGGCTCATGTGAGATGGGATATCCCAGCACAGACTTGACTGTCATCTCTGCAGGTCAGCCAGTACACATTTGCCATGTGCAGTTACCGAGAGAAAAAGGCCGAGCCTCAGGAACTTCTGCAGCTGGATGGCTACACCGTAGACTACACGGACCCCCAGCCAGGTACCCTACTTCATGGCAGGCTTCAGTCATCAATGAAATGGTTCTCCTTCCCACAGTTACACAGAATGATTAAATGTAGATCAAAATGAGTTCCGATTTTTTCCTAAAAGTAATGCTCAAATCTAAAATAATCATACATGTATATATGTATATATATTATATATATTATATATATTTTATATATAATATATATATATATATACACATTTATTTGCCACTACAAGTCTGTATAATAGAATACACGCATGTATATACTCAAGCAAGACCCGTTTGTCAAATACAAACATCTAAGCCACACAACACAGGTTAGAAAACATTCAACAATAGATTCCCCACTCGTTCTACACTGATCATCACTATGTTCTCAAGAAGAAAGAATTTAAAGTCAGGGACAGTTTTAAAACAAGAGACCCATTTAACCTCTTTGATTCCCTTTGTAACTGAAAAACCCATGTAAAATGGGAGCCTTTGAGGGGGAAGTTTTATATTTGAAAGTTGTATTTTTCTCCTACCCTCCCCCAAATGTAATCTTTCCAAAAACCCAGCCGAAATCAGTCTTCAGCATCCTAGACTTTGGGGGGTGGGGGATCATTTCAGCATATTAATGAGCAACAAGCACCAGCAGCCCTCTCCCAGAAAAGTTATTTTCTTATGCCAAATCTACATGAGGCAAGCATTTCCAACCATACTGTAGTATTTGGCCCAAAACCTTTTTTCCTCCTCCCATATTGCTCTTCCACATGCAATAAAATAAGCATAGAAGAAAGATGAGCTCAAGGGAAGATGGGTATTAACCTGACGAGATATAGAAGACTAGTCCTACAGACCACGTTAGCAGAAAAGCTGATTTTTCTGGTGTTCAAGCCCATCTTAAGAGTCAGTGACCCACTTTGCCTTGCTCTCCAATGGGTAATTCTACACACTGCCACTATACAAAGACAGGACTGGCTTCATTAGGCATTAATTAAATGCTTTAGTCGGGAGCCTCCTGTTCTTACAAGTGTGCCTCCTGGCATTTTCACAAAATGGTTCGTTAAATTGGCCCTCACATTGGCAGGTGCAAGTTTGTTTTCTTCCCCAACATTGGCTTACCCTCAGATAAAAATGGGCCCAGCCTTTCCTTGTTGCTACCCTGTGAGAGCCATGTAAAACTCATGGTGAAAATAAGTCAAAAAGTGGACCATACAAAGTCAACATCAAAAGGCAAAACATGACTTTGTTCTGAAAGTCAAACCAAAATCCCTTTGTTGTGATAATCTTTTCTAGATTGAGTCCTTGAAAGACAAAAAAAAAAAAACCCAACCTAAATGCTGGCCATGCTGGTGGGTACTCTCTCTTATGACAGAAATGCCATTTTCCATAAGAAAAAAATTTTTTTTATTTGTATCTAGCAACAAAAATATTAATATCGATAATACCAACAATATTAAATAGAATACTCATTTTAAGATCTATGCTGATTTTATTGCTTTATCATCCCCACCATTGCTACTATCACCCCCATCATTGCTACCCCCTGGATCCTATTCTTGAGCCTCCTTCTCAAAGACCCAAAGTAGAGCAGGTAAGGACATTATATTTCTTTCTCAATGGATCCAACCCTAGTCTCTCTCTTCTTTCGGCAGTTTGCAGCCTCATTTGTTATGGAAACCTCAATGGCCTTTAAAAGTGGGGGTGGGACGAAAATAATTGCCAGAATCAGCCCTTTTCATTACCGATGAAAGTGTTAACAAGCATTTATTGACAATTTATTACGTGTCAGGCAACATGCTAAGCACTGAGAATACAAAGAAAGGCAAAAACACAGTCCCTGCCCTCAAGAAGCTTACATTCTATTGGAGGAGGCAGTAAGTATATAAGTAGAGGGGCACAAGACACATAGAGATTAGACCGAAGATAGCCTTGGAGATGAAAGCTGTAGCAGCTGGAGAGACTGGGAAAGACTTAAGGAAAACAAGGAGGTTCACATATTTTCACTTCTCACAGGCAGGTCTGACTACTGCCAGAGAGCCTTCAGACATGTGCCCAGGGACCTACAGGAAGTGGGTTATAATTACTATGAGTACCTCCTTCGTCCTGCCCCCTTTTGGATGACATATATTATATAGCCAGAATGTATAGGCTTCAAAGGCCTCCACAAAACACTGCTCAAAATATTCTACCAGCCATTGTGCCTGGGGCCTCCTGGAACATTCACCCTGGGCCTTCTCACCCAGGAACATCTCTCCCCCATGCCAGCCCTCTTCTCCCATTGGTGAGTTCCTCCAGGAACTGCCATTTTGGGGAAGGTCCCAGGCTGGTCAACCTTCATTCACCTCCTGGCTATGCTTCTGACTTTCAGATTTCAATGTCATGCTTCCCAAACCCCTTTCAGTTCCTTTTGTACTCTGTCTTTTCTCATTAGAATATACGTTCCTTGAGGGCAAGGACTAATGTTCTTTCTGCTTTTCTTCTCTCCAGCATTTAGCACAGTGCCTGGCCCATAGTAAGATCTTAATACATGCTCATTGCTTTGCTGTGTACCAACCCAAAGCTGCCTGCCATTCAAGGAACCTACCCACATCTAGATAAGGAATCAAGAAGGGATTAAATGTCATTCAACTTCATATTCATCATGCCCCCAAAACAGTTTTTCTGATGCCTGAGTGATACACTATAGTCAGTGAAATTCTAAAATAGATGCATAGACGATTCCTGATCCCTAGGAGTTCAGAGTTTAAAGTAGTTGACTTTGACACAGACCCATCTGTACAGGACATACAGCCAGCAGAATGAGCATATTACACCAATGGCTGGGAAGAACGTCATTGGCAAGACCATTTCCCAGTGTGCTATTGGTGATGACGAGGCATGAAAGAGACCAAATCCCATCCAGGTATTGTCTGATCTCATTCCAGGTCTGGAAGGGGGCCGAGCCTTCTTCAATGCAGTTAAAGAAGGAGACACAGTGATTTTTGCCAGTGATGATGAGCAAGACCGGATCCTGTGGGTTCAAGCCATGTACCGGGCCACTGGCCAGTCCCACAAGCCTGTCCCCCCAACTCAAGTTCAAAAGCTAAATGCCAAGGGAGGAAACGTGCCTCAGCTAGATGCACCAATCTCTCAATTTTGTAAGTAACTAAGTTGTCTAAGGATGTAGCTCTCTAATCCATGATTTACCCTATGAAGTCAAATCAATCTCCAAAGACCAGGTTAAATTAGCTTCTTAAAACACAATTTTATGGGTTCTAAAATGTTTGAAAGCAAAGATTCATCAGGCATGTTTGCTAAAAACATGAGTTGGGGAAGCCTGGGAAAAGCTGGGATGGAATGATTGATGAATGGGATTTTAAAATGCAATACTTGATCTATTTTATTTTCAAAGACTGAACTACATGGAACATTTATGTCAGTTTTAAGGGTTAAAATGAGACAAAGACGCAGTCAGAGAGGTGAAAGGTAGGATGGTAATTCATAGCCAGCCATTCATTTGTCTTTCTTTGATCGTCTTAAATAAAGTGTGTGATTTCTTTCCTTGTTTTATTCCTTCCTATTAATGTTACTTTATAAATAGGGCTTCATTTGAAACCAATTAAAAATCTGCCATTAAGAATAACTTAAAAATAAAATAAGACATTATCACATGCAGTGAAAAAATCATTTGTGCCTTAAATTCCCATCCTGGGCTAGGCAATAAATAAACTCAGATTCAAAATTACAATAGTCTCCTTAAACAACCCTAGTTAGTGCTCCAGCATCCTGTCCTCCTTTTTCCTCTGGCTGTTTCTGCTGTTCAACCCTTGCAAGTGTCTTGTTAATAGGTAGTTAGGTAGACCGAGGTAATTATGGGCCTAAGATTCAGGGAGACTGGGAGACTGGATTTGACTCTGCCATTTACCTAGCTGTGTGGCCTTGAGCTAACTAATTTCACTTGCCTAGACTTTGGTTTATCCATCTATAAGACCATAGGATCATGAAATAATAAATTTAGAACTAGAAGGGGCCTTAGCCAACTCCCTCCTTTTATAGATAAGGAAACTGAGGCCCAGAGAGGGAGCTGCATTTGGAACAGTAAGAGCTCACATAGATGTAGAATATTAGGTTACACAAAGCACCGTGTAGTGGAAAGCTCAACAATTTTGGAAATATGGGACCTGGGTTCAAATCCTGCCTCCAGCGCTTACTGCCTGCCAAACCTTAGTCAGGTTACTTCTCCTCTCTAGGCCTCAGTTTCCTCATCTGTAAAGTTAGAATATTGGACTAGATGCTCTCCGAGGTTCTTTCCAGCTCTAAAGCCAAAATGCCATGAACCCTGCAAGAAATATGGGATTGAGTCCAGATACTCTGACCCTAAAACTACTCTTCTTTCCATTGCCCCATGGATTTCTCTCTAAGGATGCTCTTGCCTCCAACATTCAATAACTTACTTTTTGGCAGCTTTCAACTTCCAGGTAGAGGGTCAGACAAAGTAATTATTTGTTGCAAACTTTTTCAGGTTTTTGTTTTTTTTTTTTTTTTTTTTTGGCCCAAACCTGCAAATTTCATTGGTATGAGGCACTTCCAGTGAGAACACTCCTACCAATGTGGTTACAGCTTTTGTTCTTCAAGAGCTGCTCAAGACCCTGGGAGGTTACAGGGTCACACAGCCCGTATTTGTCTGAGGGGGAACCTGAACCCAGGTTTTCTTGACTCTAAGGCTGGCCCTCTCCCCACCATCAGGCTACCTTAACCTGATGATGATGATGATGATGATGATGATGATGATGATGATGATGATGATGACGACGACCATGATTATGACCATTACTGCAAACAAAATGGAAACAAAATAAACAATTGCTTTTTTACTAAAGACATAAACTCAACATATTGCCCAGTTGTTATTCTGTACTTTTCTCCTCACTCAGAATATAAAAGGTCACTTAGAATGAAATAAAATTTCAAAATATATGACATTCTCAAAAACAGTATAGGACAGAGAGTTGGGAGACTCATTTCTTTTTCTTATAGAAGTCACTTTCCCTCTTGAGGCCTCAATATTCTCATCTGAAAACGGGCAGAGATGGGGCAATGTAAGATCTCTTTCTAGATCTAAAATGGTATTGCGTGGGTCAGTTGTTTCAGTCATGTCTGACTCTTGGTGACCCCATCTGGGGTTTTCTTGACACAGATTCTAGAGTGGTTTGCCATTTCCTTCTCCATCTCATTTAACAGATGAAGAAACTGAAGCAAACAGAGTAAAGTGACTTGGCAGGGTCACACAGCTAGTAAGTGGCCAGATTTGAACTAAGGAAGATGAATCTTTCTGACTCCAGGCCTGGCACTCTATCCATTGAGCCACCTAGCTGCCCCTAAAATTATATAACATTCCTCAAAAAATGTACCATCTTATATAACACAAATGACAAAGTCTAATAATAATTTTGATAATATATAGTTTAAAATGTTGTAATAGTAATTCTTTTCAGGAACAAAGGCAAGATGGCCTCCCTACTTGATGTTATGTATGTATGGCACTTAGTGTACAAAGTCCTTCCTATGCATTTATCCTTTTATCTTCACAGAAAATTAGTGAGGGAGGCGGGACAGCTATCATTTACCCATTTTACAGATGACTAAACTGAGACCCAGAGTGTTAGAAATGCCCTTGCCCAAAGTTACATAGCTCATAATTGGGGAATCTGGGATAAGAACTTAGGTCTTCTGACCCCTCATCCAATGTTCTTTCTCCCAATTATTAGAAAATATGAGTAGGATAGGATTCTATCAGAAAATATAAGGTAGTGCCTAGAGTCTTAGACACAAGTCAAGAAGACTTGTGTTCAAATCACACCTCAGGGGCTCACCAGCTTTGCGACCCTGGGCAAGTTACTGCTCTTCTCTGGTCCATCTATAAAATGAGGGAGTTATACTCAGTGTCTGCTCAAGTCCTTTCCAGCTCTCAATCTATGATCCTATGATAATTCATTCAAATCATATTAAGAAATCTTACAACCTTCCCAGGTTAGTATGAGGTCTTTGAAAACATACATTTGAGCTCCTTATCCAGCGAAAGGTCCTCAGTCAGTTCTTATTTGAATGCTGAGCATTTGTGATGAGAAAGTTGGGGAGGGGGAGAATGGGGGATGCAGTCTAGACGCAGGGAAGCAAGACTCAATGGTAATGTCTCCTGGACAGCTTATAACCTAGAGAGTCCTTTACGCAGCAGGCATTTGACAAATGAGAGTTGAGTGGAATGATTTCTTTGTAACCGCTATGTAGGAGCGCATCACTGACGCTCTTCTTTTAGGCTCAATCAATTAATCAAGGAGTTATTTACCTAGAACTGTGCTTAGCACCATATAAGTGGCACAGTAAAAATTTCAGACGATCTCCCTCAAGAAGCTTACGGTAATAATTCCCACTTTTAAAACACTTCAAAGTTTACAAAGTATTTTCCTCATCACACCCCAGTGAGGTAAAGAATAAAAGCATTATTACTATTCCCATTTTACAGATAAGATAACTGAGACTCAGAAACCTACCCAGGGTCACCAAGCTGGACCAAGATTTAAGTTCATAAATTCCATTTCCAGGGAGCTTTCTGTTATTCCATGTGCCTCTTAGCTACTAATATACATAAAACAACTAGATGACAATTGTTTAACTAGGTCATTATGACTATAAAACTTGAGTTCAAATATATCCTCAAATAATTATTAGCTAGGAGTCCCTGGGTAGATCATTTAACTGCTGCCTACTTCAGTTTCCCCATCTCTAAAATGAGAATAGCACCTACTTCCCAGAATTGTTGTGAGAATCAAATGACATAAAGATATAAGGCACTTTGCAAACCTTAAAATATGACATAAATACTAGTGATTCTTATTTTATTATTATTATAAATGTAATGGGAGTTCAGAAAAGGGATCTATGTAAATCTGAATCAAACTTGATCAATGCAAAGTGTAACACTGGGGTTCAAGAAACCAACTTCCTAAATCTAAGGCAAGTTTAAGAGGTAGTGTGGCTAGTGTGGGCATCTTTTTAAGAATCTAGTTTTAGTAGGCTGCAACATCAATATATGTCAATCAAGAGGCCGAGAAGGCTGCTGCCGCTGTCTTTAGCTGCACTGAGAAGCCACAGCTTCCATGGGTGAGAAAGGGGTTAGTTTCTCTGTATTCTGCCCTGGGCATACATTATCTGGTATATGAGGTTCGGTTACGGGCACCGCATTTTAAGAAGGACGTGGCTGAGCCAGTGACTTTCCAGACGAGGGCAACTGAGATGGTGAAGGACCTCAAAATCATGACCTCTCAGGATCCGTGAAGGAAATGAAGGTCATGAACCTGGAGATTAGAAGTCTCAGTGGAGGGCATGACAACTATCTTCAAGTTTCTGAGGGATTATTGTATAGAAGAAGAAGTAGGGTGCTCTGCCTAGTACTGGAGGAAAGAATGAGGAGAAATGAGAAAAAGTTGCAAAGAGGCAACTTTAGGCCTGATTTAAGGAAAATTATCTGATTATTAGAACTATCCACTGGTAGAGAGGGGTGCCTTGGGAGTTAGTAGATCCCTCTTATTGGAGGTCTTCAAGTAAAGTCTCTAGGTCCACTTGCCAAGTACTTTGTGGAGGGCATTTCCCATTCTGGTTTAGGTTAGAATGGATGGCCCCTTAGGCCCCCTTCCAACTTTGAGATTCTTTGGTATTCTGGCGGATATTCAGTGGTTTGACTTAGAAAAGGCTTAATGGAGGAAATGGCCTTGAAACTGGGCTAGAGGAAATTCACATTGGGCTTGATGAATTTTATACACTATTGCTTCCCTACCTACTAAATTGCACAATTTCTATTCATAGTTAAGTTATTAATGGTTTATTACCTTTCTGTGGACCTTGTCTGGCAAAATAACATAGTTCAGATGGATTCTGAAGGTTTTCATAGTGTTCCTGAACATCATTTGAATGAATTAGAACGAATAGGATTTTATTCACATGTACCTACATGGGATATTCAAATAAAACAGCTCCTTTCCCTTTTGTACATTTGATCTCCTTTCCTCCAGGCAGAATCTTATGTAAATCATATCAGACAAATGGGCATCTTCATGTCCTACATAGGATACCCTATAAGAGCCTCATCAGACTCAGAAAT